GCGCGGATGGAGGACAAAGCCAGCATATGCAGTAGCGTTGTTTATTCATGTAATTCTGTCGAGGATTATTTAAAAGGCTAAGCCGTTCGAATCTGAACGTTAAATAGCGCGCAAGAGGTAACTGCTTCGCGTTCTGGTCTACATTTGACGCCATGTAGTTATTTTTGTCGGGATGATCTCTTCTTCATTCGTTTAAAGAAACCACAACATTTTGTTTCGTCTACTAGTTCAACTTCTGGTTGTTGTGTGACAGGAGCGTTCGAAGGATCAGCACTAGGATCGTCAACATTTGTCGAATTAACAACTTGGGCTAAGGCGAGCCTGTCGGTTGACTTCAAATTGCCCAGCATAGATCCTCGTTTTGGTTCACTACGCCATGCAGCGACACCTCCTTTAGCGGCATTCTTACGATGTTTATTTGTTGACATGTTTAAGTCATAGCCAGTTTGCAAACATCCGACCGGTGTCGACATTGCTTTCTCTGTCCAGTCAAATTGGCCATCGTCCACAAAGCCTTTGCGGTCGAACAATTCTTGAAACAGTCTTTGCACAAAGGCATAACTAGGCGTTTCGAAAAAATCTAAACGTCTGACGTAATGTAAATATATGGAAAATTCCTCAGGATAGTTATGGCAAAGCACATGAATAGGTGTTGCCCGTTTAGTTTCGCCAATTTTTTGATAACGTTCTTTGAGTGTACCGGCCTTGAGGCCTTGCCACGGCAACGAACCCCTTAAGAAATACATAAACATATAACCTAATGCTTCTAAGTCGTCACGTCTTGATTGCTCTTTGCCCGCGTGTGTGTTTATCGACATATAACGTGCGGTGCCGGTTAAGCATTTATTTTCCCCATATGGTATGTGATTATTTGTATCTAAATCAATATATTCTTTGGCCAAACCGAAATCAACAATGTATATAACTTTTTCTCGCCTCATTGATCGTCTACCAATGAGAAAATTTTCCGGTTTAACATCTCTATATATTAAGTTTCGACTATGAACATATTCGATCCGATGGAGAAGTTGTTTGCATATCATCACTACAGTCTTTAGGGAAAACTTCCGCTTGCACATATTGAAGAGATCTTCCAAGGATGGCCCCAATAATTCCAAAACCATGGCATTGTATCGGCCAGCACAAGTGCCTAGAAAGAAAACGCGAGGTATACCTTCCGGACAACATTGAGTATCACATGATCCTAACTGTCTATAAAACTCATACTCTAGGTGCAGTAGCGGAGCCTTCGATTTCATTGACTCCATTTTTATTGCTACATGTTCATTATTATGCACATTTTTGCCTAATCGCAGTTCGCCAAAATTACCACATCCAATTTTTTCACCAACTCGAAAATTTGATCCGAGCATAATTACAGACGTTCACTGTAATGGCATTGAAAAAGATAATTCCGACGAAGCTAAGGTTTGTTAGACACAATTCTACCAATAAAAAACTTTAGGCAATGATATTAATTATTTTTTCAGCACATAATAAGCTTGTGTTCGTTTACCCTAAGATATTCACTACTGGTGTCATCCAGCTCTTGTTTTTTTTTTGCTTTCTTCTTTAGTGTGGAAAGAGTAGAAATTTCCCGCACACAATCAAACAATTTCCGTAAACCTTTCAATATTATTGGAGAATTTTCCGGACCTCGTATAAAACAAAGTTCAGTGTAGTTTGACTTATTTGCACTTTTTTCACAAATTAAAATTTTGAATTCAATTTTAGAATATATTTTATTTTGTTATTAAAATATTATATTCTATTACTCTCGAACAAAATCAAAAAACACGTTTTTTTTTTTTTAAATTAGCTCAAAGTCGATATGACATCCAATGAAGAGGAAAGTGAAAATTTATCGAAGAGAATAGAAAGATAACATAATCGCTTCATTTTCTTTCTTATATCAAATTACGAGAAAATTTAATTTGCTCTTATTTTACACATTTTCTTATTTGTTCGTGTTCTTGCTTTACACGAAGCCTTTTCCCTAAGTTTCCAGTTCTTGCCTTACATTTTCTGCCGTATATACGTCGACTTCTATCAGCCATAATTACTTTTATTAACGGAAACGTAAGTGTGGAACTTATCAAGAGAAATCTTCGAAAATCTGGATCTTGTAAGAGAAGAGAGGACTTAAGGAACAATCCGTTTAGATTTTTCATATGTCGATTGTACAATATCAAACTACATCATATGTGGACATTTTTAGCAAAAACCAAAAAACAAAGTACTAGCTGCACCCTCGATGCAACGAGTACGCTATTTCGATGCCTTCTACTTTTAGATCTTGAAAAAGATGGGCATGCGCAGTTCATTTTCCAACATTTTGTGGGTACAATCTTTTTCTACCTGCTCAAGCTTCCGAAATAGTGGCGACATATAGCTATTTCTACCAAAAGGAATTATTTGGATCTTGTGAAGAATTAGGGGCTTAAATGTGATCTTCCATTTTGTAGACCATAAGAAAAAAAAATTTTCGACAACATGACGTACAAGATGAGCTTAGAGAACCCGTCGGTAACGCGTGTTTTTAAATATTTTCACGGCATAAAAATCTACTGACAAAAAAGATAGAAAACTTTTTTGTACATTGTGGGCGTGGATATGGACAAATGACAACCATTTTTTAATCGATCGGACAACGTGGGCTAAACGTAATTATGGCGATTTTACAAAGAGGGGGCATCGAAATGATCTCTTTTGGTAAAGATAGGTAAATGGAAAACATCCGCAACTCGCAACAGTTTAACAGAAAGTAAAGGCGAAATCTCCTGAAAGTTCCTTAGAAGGCAAATTCGTTCGTTCGCAGTTAAAATCGCCTAATAATAGGAGAAAATATACACACACAAGTGGAGAATAAATTTCCAATCAAGAGAGAATCATCCGGCGCAAATTTTAAGTTGATGGACGTGTACGAATTGCGTTGTTTTCCGGACAACAATTTTTTGTTTATTGCGTTTCCATTTTTAGGCCATTTAATCACTTCCTCAGCTTCAGTTGCATTTTTCCACGTTTAATCAAGTTGAGAACTGACAGATGCCGCTAGCTGGGACCCACGTCCCTAAGTTTTCCTATACATTGGACGACAGCTTAGACACAACTGAAACTTATCAACGCCTCAGACATATTCTATGCAACACCAATGTCAGCGGAGAGGATATTCTACCCGCCTAGTAATTACAGTTTTGTTTTCGTAATTTCTACAAGTGGAACAGTTTTGTTTACTTCAATGGAGAAAAAAACTTTTCCGTGTTGCATTTGCAAAGATAAAGTTTCTCCGCAGTTTGCAGAGGCTTTTAAAATAAAATGAATTTATTTTTCATAAAAATAGCTTTTATAAATATACATCTACTTAAAAAAACAATATAGTATCCTTAATAACGTAGGGGATAAAGTTGGAAAAGACGCATGATGAACGAATCAATTCAATCAATTCATTAAATTCACTTCATCTTTACCCACACACTTCTTTATTATCCTTTTGTTAATTCTGTTACCAAAGGCGACTATTTTATACCTTTTTTCAGCATTCCACCGGAATTGCTTATCAATGCGATTTGACTAAAGACAAAGATAGAAACAGTGCGCCATTAGGTGATCGAGAACTCTCTTAGTGAAGTCCGTATCTGAGGCCTTTGAGGTCATGGTCTATCCTTGCTTGGTCCGCACAAAAGTAATAAGCGTGATATTTTCACCCTTTCGAGTATTTCGCCTTATCAGTCTTGGCAGAAACAAATTTTGTCGTCAAGAAAGTTATTATGAAGAATTTTATCGTTTTCGTTTATCGCTTCTGCTTGAAAGAACTTGAAGAAATGGAAATCTGCTTCGTATTGTTAAATAAGTCCATAGCTAATGTTTACTTATAAAAAAAATATTATAGATGCGTATTAATTCAATTCTTACCAGTTAAGGGTAATTTATTATTTATGCGTTTCTAATTTTGTTTAAGAAAATAAAAGCTTTAAAACAAACTTTCACGTCTACGTCAGAGTTATTTGTACTTAATGTCGAAAGTTTTTTTTAGAAATTGAAATTGCTCGCTTGCCAAGAGTTAGTTAAACCTTCTTCTTCTTTTGTAAAAATTCGACGAATCAACTACTGACGATGGACTGTGCTGTCGCCATAATTTATCTACGGAACTATGATAATTTTATACGGTCTGCGTTTCATCTGAGTAACACAATATTAAGAAAGCAAAACACAACTGTCTTGGGGATAAATTTTATTAAAGGTACAATATAAAATGCCCCCAGGAAGTTTCTGTGGTAAAAGCCTCCCGGAATTATGTTTTCGATCAGATCCAGGTTCAAGATAAACGTGTTGTAATACATTGCAAACAGAGAAATTACATATGTTTACTTCGATTTTCTAATATTTCGAAAAACTGATGGCTGAACGAGAGGCGGACGGATGGGCTGACAAAGGAAAATCGTATCATTCATTCCTAAAGTGTTCACTTCTTATAGTGCATCTAAACCGTATTTCGAATGAAGAGAGAGTAAGAACATGCCGAGGTAAAATATTTGTTATACATAGCTTCTATCCATTTCTTTTTTACGTATTAAAAATCCTTTCCCAAAAAAATCTACCTTAATATAGTTTAAATATATTTCTTTATTTTTTTTTGTTTATAGAATATAAGAGGCATCTGTATCTCCTGTCTTTATGCCAGATATCCTATCCACCGGATTATCCGATAGTCAGATAAATGTATTGTTTTATATAATAAGGTGTTTAACAAGTTTCTTCTTTTAATAAAGAGACGTCACAAGCACCTAACGAAATCGGTTCTTCCCATTTTTAATGCCTTTAAGACCTTAGAAAGTTATTAAATATTTTGTATTTTTTAAAGAGAAGGTATTGATTGATATTAGTTATTATTCCGAACCATAGTGCTGCTGAAATCATTGCCTACGCATTACAAGCCTTGCTTGACACTGAATTCGCGGACCAACTTTTCCCAATTATCAGATGATTAATTAATTGGTCAATGTAACAGCAATGCTGGTTTTGATCACAGGCTTAACATACTCTAGTGAATCTTGCGACGCTTACTAAGTTCGCGGTTACGGTGCGATAAAGGCCTGCCTAACAACTAGCAATAAAGTTTACATAAAAAGTTATAAAGACTGTCCCAATTATGAGAGCAAAGATCTGATGAAAAAATTGAAAGCAATCAGAAGCCCTCTCTTGCTGTTTGAAAAATAAATATTTGATAGAAGTATGAAAAGTTAAGCATCGTTCGCGGACTGCCGCTTTTTAATTGGATCTATAGATCCGTATTTATTTGTCCTTTGAAAGCCTTAAAGGATCTCAAAACCTTAAAAATAAAACCGGTTTTTGCTTCCTGCAATTTTCTCTTAAGTTGAGCTAGCGATTAGATATGCCTCGAAAAAAAGCATAATATAATGCTTGTAATGTTTTCGTCGATAGGGAATGTTAATTACAAATAAATAAATTTTCCAAGCAATAACGATTCCGGTCGGTCCGACTAACTATCGTGTATAAATTTTTTGCATTCTGTCTTAGTAATTTTTCAACTCCAAATTCGCCACGAATTTCTTTCTGTTTAATAAATATTTGCCCCCGTGGGGGAGTTATTGTTCCGTACACATAGACAACCAAAGCCAAAGTAAAGTTTGCTTAAAATCATTAGTGAAAATAATGTGAACTATACCTTGCGACCGCGGGCGCATATATGTAAAGGATAATTCACCTAAACAAACTGTAAAAGCGTGCATATCGTTGGAAATTGGGACCAACCTGACATTTGATGTCTTCAATATTTTTGTAAAATTTCTCTTGTATACACTTGTTCTAGATAATTATTTGCTGTAATTGAATCATTTCAGTTTCATAGGTATCTTTGCAATTAATGCGTTTACAATTAATTTTACAGGTATTGTGTTTGTAATTTCACCTCATGGAACATGGAACAATCATGGCTAGTTTAATCCAGAACATCTGATTCAAAAGTACTTTTTCGCTTTGCAAGTAATGAAGCAAAGATAAAGTTTCTCGCCGGGTGAAAAAAAATTGAATTTATTTTTGATAAAAACAATAATAACATTTACAATTATATATTTACTTATTTAAACAAAGCAACAATATATTACCTCCGCCAATGTTAAGGATAAAGGTCAAGAAGGCACATGAAGAAAAAATCAATTCTTTTGCATAAATTCATTTCATCTTTATCCAAGCACTTCTTCGCTGCGCGCTTGTCAAACTTTTTACCAAAGGCAACTGTCTTCTTATTCGGTTTCAGCACTGCACCGGGATTGCTTATTAATGCCATATGCTCAAATACACAAAAATAGAAACAGTGCGATGTTATGTGATCGTCTTCATCATTGGTTTTCAGTTCGAA